TGGCACCATCTCGATCTTTGTTCATTTAATAGGAGTCATCGATCAACTTTGAGCTCTTTTTTCGTCGATCAACTTTATTTGTAAGTTGTCTCCCTTATGGATTTGACTACCTAGTTATGGAACTCTTATGTCGATATGAAAACCTTCTAATTTGGTTAATCACTTGTGAATTAACACCTTGTTTGGTTATGATGTGAAAATCCAAATGCAAACAAAAGATAGAGAGAAATAAAATAAAACAAAAGAAATTGTTAGTGCCATTCAACCAAAAAAAAAAGAAAAAATATTTACGAAAAAAAAGATCATACCCAACATGGTATCTACCATGTCATGTTTCTATAATAGTTCTACCCATACATGTTTTCTACCCCATGTATTTTTCAACGTATAAATCCTAACCTCATTTTTTGTAGTTCACAGGCTTTGAACGGAAATATAAAACCTAACTGCATACTCTTCTAGTTCTCATGTTTTTTGCAAAAGAAATAACTAAATAAGTAAATATGAGGAAAGGTTAGAGTGAGTTTCCCCTTTGTGACTTTTGAAGAACCACAAACAAAATTACGGTACGAAACGGGCAGAGTTTCGGTACTACTAAAAGGGTCCTCGAATTATCCTTTACTAGTGTCCCCTTGGGCCTACCAGACCCTCGATCCTCACCCGTTATAGGCTTAAATGAATAAGTTCAATTCGAAATGATGCATTTCTCCATGTCCAAGTGAGGAAACTCAATGTTTCGTTCGTAAACACAAGGCATATGTGCCCTAGAGATTTCTTACTAAAGCCCGTTCGGAGAAAAATAATTTTTCTCACGTAAGCGTAGCGTTCACCCCCTACCTAACGAGACATAGGACAGTTAGAAGGCTCTAACTAGTCAAATGGTTATATCGTGTGTGAGGGGGAACTCACAATCCTTTGTTTAGATCCAAAAACAAAAAAAAAAACTTAAAAAATGTCAAAATTTTGAAACTATGGAAATCACATATTAGTACAATTAATAAATAATAGCAAAAATGATGCATGACATGATGTGATGCAAACAAAATATAAGGATCAAAATTTTAATATCATTCAAATTTACCATTTTCAACTAAAAATATGACATATAATCTAACTTAATTTAAAAAAATATTGGGTTTAAAAATAAATAAATAAATAAATTTAGAGTCGTCATCGACCTTTGGATTAGGAAAATTAAACACCTAAAAATATCCTTTAAAATAATTTTAAGAAAAATAATTTTAAAAGATAAAAATGACATGTGTTCAACCATAAACTCATTTTGAAAAGGGTTCGGGAGTCGATTAAGCGTGTGGAAGGATGATCACCCCCATAGCGCCCAAAATCGATACCTAAGTGATTATACGTTATTTAAATATTGAAATTTGAAAATTTGAATATACATTTAAATTATAATCCTATTAGAAAAAATTTAGAGATGGGAATTACTTCGTATGGACAATTATAAAAAACAGACTCCTTATCAGTTAAGGTGCATTTTTATGGATTCTCCACACAAAATATCAACACCATGTTTTTTTTGAAACCCATGTTTTTCTGAAACAATATATATAATATAAAAAAGAGTAAATAAAATAAAAAAATGATTTGAGTATATCATACATATTATGCAAAAATGATGTCATTAGACTAAGAAACATCGAAACAAACACAGAAAAATAATTACCATGAAAAATAAAATATTCATATAAAAGCAGAATATATGCATACACTTAGTAACATAATACAATCCCATACACATGTTATAACATGTAATATATATGCGATTCATGTTTACAAAAGAGCAAATATAAGCTTTATGGAGCACGTGCATTTTTTTAGAAAGTGTAAACATAATGAAACTATATGTACCATACGTACCTCCATATATTATAATAACGCATAACGCATAACGCATAACGCATAACGCATAACGCATAACGTAAAGTGGGTCATATACATGTACGCATAACACTCAAACATGAAAAATAGTTGATTTATACGGTTTTAAGGGAGGAAAACAATGATTAAAGTAACAAAACAGCAAGTTAGGGGATCTGAAAAGAATTTTCCCTAAAATTATAATATAAATTTAAACTAAAACAAAACATCTCCTATCACTCATTTCTCCCCACGCAGCTCAAATCCCTGATGCCTCACAACTGCCGCTCGACGCAGGCCACTCAAGCCTCCAACTCCGACCTAGCACCCTCGTCTAACTTTCTCTCTTAAGCCTTCTCCTGGCCGAAAACTCCCTTAGCCCAAATAAATGACTCCCCTCAATCCCTAAATCACTTGACCAAAGCTAGGGAACGAAAGGTTTACCTTTGACTTTGACAGTGTTCAAATCTCGGGGATGGCACCGGTCCGCTTTAGACGGGAAATGTGATATTCGTTTTCCTTGGTTTTTTTTTTTTCTTTTTCTTGGTATTTGGTTGCTAAAAGATGGATCCTTTTTTTCTGTTGTGTTGTTGATGAATCAAAGAAAAATACTTTTTTGGTTATTTTCTATTTTTGTAGAGAATGATGGTTTTTTGGCTATGGTATTCTCCTATTCGAAAGAAAGGCGTCCTCCCTCCTTTTTCTATGGTTGATGTGTTCTCTTTTTTAATGGATGAAAGTTGGTGTATCCTCTCCTCACCCCTCCCCCCGATGTTACTGATGATAATAAAAAAAGATCCATTTTTGTTGCTGTTGCATTCAGATTACTCGATTTACTGAGGCGAAAAATCTCCATTTCTGTTTTTCTCGCTGCTGTGTTGACCGCTGATGGGAGAAGATCTTTCCATTTTTATGATATTTTCCTTGGTTTTTGAGTTGCAAGTGAGAAAACGAGGCAAAGTTACACCTCTTTGGCGTTTCGGGGCAACCAAGACCTCTACTCCCTGCCACTGTCACGGAAGAGGGAGCAACAATGATGGTAGCATGGAAGCAATGGTGGAAACAATTTTCTAGTTTTTTAATTTGGACCTTCAGACAAAACGAGCATCCAAAGGGTGTTATATAATAACACATTTTACCAATCTTAAAATGTTTCTCAATAAGCATGGTATCATGAAGCAAATTAGATTTTTCCTTGTAGATCCTTAAGTTTTCACAAACAATTAAACATAGCTCTTCTAGTTCTTGCAATTGTAGTATCCTTGACATTTCAGCTTTGTTGAGGTCCATGTCACATCGTTGAACCACCCGATATGCTTTATGCTCTTTCAAGATTTGAACAAAAATCTCCTCCTGTTCAGTTGTGAGTACTTTTTCGATTATGATTGGCAGTGTATCCTCTTCACCCAAATGCACATATTTTAGGTGGTCAGGTAAGTCTATCAATTCCAATTTTTGGGCTTGCACAGTAGAAAATATTTTGTTAGCATCTGAATTTACTTGTTCAAGAGAGAGTGTTGAAAATATTTTTTCAAAGTCGGTCTCATTATCCTCAAGGTCGGCTTGTGCACATAATCGCAACTCACATTCAATGTCTTTTACAGAAAAGACACCCTGCAAAATTGAATCAACCATATCAACTTGACAAAGAGATAGCATATCATTAGGACATTTCATTGCATCAAGAATACTAAATTTCGCAAGTTCTCCACCAAATTCCACAGGCAAAGTACCCTCATCTACCTCGATCTTCATCTTTGATGTCTTCATGAATTGTCTTCCTAACAAGATTAAAGGTGATTTGGAAGAGGAATTACCTTCCATGTCCAATATGTAAAAATCTACAGGAAAAATCAGCTCATTAACCTGTACCAAAACATCTTCAACAACTCCAAGTGGGTGAATATAAGAACGATAAGCTAATTAAACTACCACATTGGTCTTTTGCAGACCATTTAATCTTAAGTCTCGGTAAATAAAAAATGGGATGACAATTTTTGAAGCTCCTAAGTCTAACATAGCATGCTCAATCCTTTTATTACCAATAACACAAGGTAAAAAAACATACTCGGATCCAACCATTTTTTGGCATATATTTTTGCAAGATTATCGACACATTATTACTTACATGAACCCTCTCTTTTTCTTTCAATTTCTATTTATTAGTGCACAATCCCTTCAAAAATATTGCGTACTTGGGAATTTTCTTGATGGCATCCACCAATGGAACATTAATCTCAACCTTCCTAAATACATCCAAGATATCTTTGTGCTCATCTTTCTTTGGTTTAGCAAACTTGCTATGAAACGAAGGTAAAGGAGTATGAGATGAAAAAGATAACGGAGGGTTGAATTTCACCTTTGGAGATACTTTGGAATGACGTTTTACTCCCTCATCCTTGCCCATATCGACTCTTTTAGGCGAAATCAATCCCAAACTCTAAACACTTGTCCTCATTTATTGTCGGACTGCATAAGTTGTTTCTCTTGTCTCATTTTTTTATTGTCAGAGTGCATGAATTGTCTCCTTTGTTTCTTGTCGAAGTGCATGAATTGTTTCCTTTGTTTATTGTCGTAATGCATCAATGCTAGCCGTCGTTTCCTGTTGAAATGTATGAGTAAAGTTAGCTAGACTTTTAACAATATCCTCTAAAGACATACCTGAATTTGAAGATTGCTGTTGGGTCAGAGCTTGAGTTGGTCTAGAAAATTTTTGAGGGTTGTATCTTTGTTGTCTTCCTTGATTCCCAAAACGTAGATTTGGATGATCTCTCCATCCTCAATTGTTATGGTTAGAAAAATGATCATTCTTACTTTGGGGATGATTAGAGAATCCGCCTATAGCATTTGCTTCTTATACCTGCCCTACAACAATTTGATGAAACAAAGTAGTCAAGTAAAAAAATTTAGTTTCAAGAGAATCAATTCTTACCTCACTGACTTGGTTGACAGATTTATTCTTACCAAATTGTTGAGAATTTTCAGCCATGTTCGAAATTAACTTTCTTGCTCCTTCAGGCGTAGGGTACACTAAAGCTCCACCATTTGCTGCATCAATCATACTTCTATCCATCGGCAACAATCCTTCATAGAAGTATTGAATTAAAAGCTTATCCAAGAATTGATGATAGGGAAAACTAGCGCATAATCGCTTGAACCTTTCTCATTACTCGTACAAAGTCTCTCCAGTGAGTTACGTAATACCATAAATTTCATTTCTGATGTTGGCGACCTTATACGTTGGAAACATTTTCTCCAAAAATAATCTCTTCATCTCATTCCCTCTCGTAATTAATCCAGATGGTAGATAATAAAACCAATCTTTTGCTTGATCATTTAAGGAAAAGGGAAAAGCTTTTAGACTGATTTGTTCATCAGTGACTCCATGTGGTTTCGTTCTTGGGAACATTAATATTTGAAAAGTCACTAAAGTCGAACATTATTACAACTAGCTAAAAGAGTTTTAGGAAATACGAATTTAAGGGGAATTAAAAGGAATAAATGTTAAAAGGAAGGGAAATGACAAGGAAATTAAAATGTTCGGGAATGAAATAAATTGAATTTTCTAATTTTACTAACACAGGGAAAAAGTGTAATCGTTTTAAGGCCTGAATCTCTAAGAAACCAGGGGTTATTTCAGTCCTCAGCGGAGTCATCAAGTTGTCATGACGACTTTTTTCGAAAGGTGTAGACGAAATGAAAGTAAACGTTGAAATTAAGGATTGTAATTTTAAAAAAGACTTGAAAAGTTTGGAGTCACCATCGTCCTTTGGGATTAGGTAGGTCGAAAACCCGAAAATGCCTTTTAAAGAATTTTAAAATGAAAACATTAAAAATAGGTGATTTTCTTTGCATTTTAGAGATTATGGGTTTGATATTCGATTACGCTTAGGGAAGGATTATCACCTCACAACTCCCAAAATTGGTACCTTCAAATACAAATTTGTCCCTATACTAAATATTTAAGAAGTTCACATATTTATTTAATTAAGATATTTTGAGAGACACACAATATTTGTCTATTTCCAATTAAAAAAGAAAATAACCCCTTAATCGGAATTAAGACAATTATTTGTTATTTTTTTAATCGAAACAATGAAATATTGTCATCCTTAAAAATTAAATAATTAATCAATTATTAAACTCTAAAAAGAAAAAAAAATAAAAGTGAAAAGTTAATCAAATTATTATTTAAAAGAATAAGGATGTTTCTTGATTTAAAGAACGAAGGCCAAGCCTTTGACATTAATCAAATAGCGTGTCCTTAACAATTTAAACATATGAACAAGCCTCTACCCTTTTGTCTTTAAATTAATAAACCTATTTTATTTTTAGTGACCACTGGTAGAATATTTATTTATTTAAAAATATTGAAAACTAATGTCTAGTTACTTTAAGACCACCCTTTTTAATATCTAAAAATAAATAGACATTTTATTTTAATCAAATTATGAGTTTAATTATTTGTTTCTAATTAAAATTATTAAAGAAGCTAATCCTAAAAGTACAATTCTAAACTTAATTAATTTCTAATTAAAGGAACTAAACTAAGGCTCTAATTAATTAGTGACTAAAACTAGAGAACATAAAATCTAAGGCTTTAATTAAAAAGTCTAAGGTTTAGTTTTAATATTAGTGACTAAATTAGAAGATTTAAAAATCTAAAGGATTTAATCTTGGTTTAAACGTGTGACTATTTTGAAAGATTCAAGAATTGGCTTTAAATATTAATAATTCAAAACATTTAATAAAATAATAAAAGCAATTGAAATGAAATCAACGACTAAATCGAACTCGGTTAAAATTTAAGGAATGAATTACACTGATTAGGTGACTAAAATAAAATAAAGAAAAATTCACATCCCATATCAAAAACACGCGTAAAGTAGGGTGTTTAATGAAATGATTTACCCAAAAGTTTAACCACTATAAAATACCAAATTTTAAGATAAGCATCATTTTCATCCTTTCAAAATTTTCTCCTCCCCAAAATCCTCTCAACCTTGGCCGAAAATCTTATCCCAAATTCTCCCAAATCCTTCATAAATTTAACCAAACTCATTCCATCTTCATCTTAAAACCCCATTTTAATCTCCACAAACACCAAAATACCACCCGAAATGCATTTTTCAAGATCAAAGCCAAACTTTCTCAAGAACACTAACATGTTCTTCCCCAAAATCAAAATTTAATCTCCCACTAACACCAAAAAGCACAACACTTGTTATTTTTGGATCAAATACCCCAAAATCCAAGAACATTTCCAAGAAGAAAACCTAATGTTCTTCTATCTACCCAAAACCTAAACCTAAACACCAAATCCAATAGGATTTTCCCAAGCTTCATCCAACATGAACCATAAACCCGATATCGAACCACCATGCTCCGACCACCGCTAGCCACCCATCGAACTACGATGCCGGTCGAACCTTCCTCCACCGTTGGCGAGATTTTTTGCCACCACACTTATTCGAACCAAAAAATACACACACAAAAAACGAGGTAAAAACCCTCACCTTAAAAGAAGCTTGAATCTCCAGTGACCAACTCCTCCACGAACAATGAGCTTTCTTCATTTTCTTCTTACTTTCTTCAAATCTTTATGTGTAGTAATGACTATGTTGATGATTGGTAGTGATTCCTTGGTAGTTAGTGTTAATGATGAGCCTTCCTTTTTATATTGATGAAATTTAACTCTTGATTAACTACCCGCTCAAAATTCGTTGCAAAACGGTGGAAACAAACTTGTTTGTTCTAGATTTAATAACATTCTTTAGTTCTAATTTTTCTTTTTTTCTATGATTTTTTCATATTTGAAATGTGACTGGCGATGCGGCAACGATACCTACGGTGAAGACGACGGTGCGATGAGGAAGATGAAAGGTCTGACGCTTGTGGCTCACACGACAGTGAGCTCTCCAGCCAGTGGGGACGCGTCGGTGGAGTGGTAGAGGCTTACTTTGGATGATGCAATATTGGCAATTGGATCAAATCTAGATCCAATTGTTGAGATTCATTTGTTCTTCTTCACTTGGATAGGTGATGTGAGAAGCTCCTAGCCCTTGGATCTACTCCCTCATCAATGGCTCACATCGGTTGTGTTTATTTTACACGCAAAACCTTGTTGCGTGTCGTGAGTACTATAAAATTATACGCAAATAATGTGCAAGTATACACAATCGCAAAAGTAATAAAGTGATGAGTGATTATCATCTCCACAAGGATTTGAAGGATATTGAGTAAAGTTTATGCACTAGTCTAAAGTAATTAAGTATAGCTAATGATATTCACAAATGATTATGCCGAGGAAAATGAAATGTATATATATAGTGGAAGAATAATAATGTGAATGAGTAACAAAAGGAAATGTCTCGGCAAAGGAAAATGTTAAAGATAGCAAATAAATGAAATAACTTGATAATCCTCACATGGGAAACTTCTTCGGGAATGAGTGATGGAGAATGATTTAAAAATGCTAAAACTTATCTCTCTAGAAAGTGGGGATTAAATTGCAAAATTTTAAAGTTGGCAGGCCGTTTTAAGAAGTACAGGAAATTCAGTGGCTAAACCCATGATTTAACCATTTTTTTATATGTTGAATTATAAGTTTCCCCGTGCACAGGTTCAGCTGAGATTTTTCAGTTTTCCCTCTCTGATCAACCAACTTTCAACTCCGATCTACTCGCCGTCCGACCTCCGATCGACGACTCGAAACCACCATCGTGTTCATTGTCAACCGAGGAACAAAACCCTTCAAACCTATCATCGTGAATCGTCGTCGTTCATCGTTAATTTTAGTCGGAAGTACCGTCGGTAATAACTCAATTTCAATTGGTTTTTCATCGATTCACGACGATCGGGTCATCCGTTTACGACACCTCCTGCACCATCGTGTTCCTTGCATTGTTCCGAGTCCGCCGGTGTCATCCTTGGTCTCCGTCGATGGCGGCGCGTGAAGAGGTGAAGCGGTCAAAGTTTCTGATTTGTTGAAATCGAGCTCTCCGCCGTTCAAAATTGTGAACCTAGCTTTGTAAGTATCTCGAAATCACTCAAAATAATTTTTAGGAATTTTTTCGGGAATTTAGCACTGTTCACGCGCCGCCACTGCGTGTGGGGATGGAAAAAGTGACTGGTTTGACCGGTTTTGGAACTGTTTTGACCGGTTTGACCTGTCACAACCCGTTGACCCGACCCGTTGACCGGCGTTAACCAAAACTTTGACTGGCTTTGACCGGGCATTAAACGACCTTTGACCGAGTATACATATCCTAACATTTTTCGACGTTCCAAATCCGATTTCGCTGTCAGTTTTTTGAAATTCGAACCCGAAGAGCTCGAAATTACCGGTCAAACCCGTTGACTTTGATTTTGACCGAAAATTCCAAATTTCTGAAAAGTCATATTTTATGCTTTCGACGTCCTGAATTCGAAGTCCGTTTCTCCAAATTCAAAACTGGTAAGTTGGTTTTAACTGATTTATCATCCGATTCGATCCGTTTGTCTCAATTAAGCTTCATTTCTGATCTAATTTATGTTGATATGTATCTGAGGAATTATTGGAAGTTGAATTGAAGATCAAAGGCGTTCGAATGGAATTTTTATGGTCGATCAGTATTGCATGGAAATCGAGGTAATACTTTACTACTTCTTTATGCTTTATGGAACATGTGAATATTGGTAAATGCATGAATAAGATAATGTTTGTCTCATTTGTATAGTTAATGAATTTCTACACTTGATCCGAATACAGTAGAAAATTGGCAACTGATTATGGTTCAGATGATTAATATAAGAAATTGATGGATTGTTAGAATTATATTATGAGTTCTGTGATTAGTTATAAAGGGATTATCATGGATTTGTAGCTTATATATATGTCATTAAAGATTAAATATTAAAGATACTCGGATGAGAAATCATGAGAATATTCTGATAGGGTAAAATTATGAAAATACCCTTATATTGTAGGATGACAATAATTGTCCCTGGAAGTTGGTTAATAACTCTGAAAAGACATATTGATCCGATATAACTACTGATGTGCATAAGAATTGTAGTTTACTTGGAAATTATGGATAATCGATTTTTAACATATGAGGATTTATGGAAGATACTAGAAGTCTGTTAATGAATCATTTTAAGATCAGAGAAGGTTCGAGAAAACAATTAATTATATGATCTCAAAATTATATTATTTTTGTTAAGAGTTAATACCGAAATTATCTG